CACTGTCACAGCAAATGACGATGACGAGCTCGAACTGGAAGTAATCGGGGATTTGTGAGAGAACCCGGAGAGCCAGGCAGCCTCTTTGGAGTGCGACTTCCGTAGTCTGCCAGCCAGTGCATGGCAGATGTTGCACGCACGCTTCTGCGCTCGCAGAAGCGTGCGTGCAACATCTGCTTTAAAAATCGAGCAGGAGACGTCGGAATTCATCACAGCTCCCACCGATGCTGCCTCTGAGATTCCTCACGCGGAGGATGCAGATGCACCTGGCATGGAGATGGACATGCCTACGGACCCGAGCCCTGTCTTTGTCTCTTGGCCGGCAAAGTCGCGAAAACGGATAAGCCTAACTATACGAACCTCATCTAACTGCACTATCGTTTGGCAAACATCATGTGATTCAGTATTTGGCACCTGTACGAAATTGTCGGGTGTAGGGCCTATAGTCACCCCGATGCGCAGGCTTCAACCGAAGCGGCACCGTCGCCGGCGAGCGACTGGTGGCTGGCCTTCTGCGTCGCCGTGCAGCAGAACCTTTGCTGCGCCCGCGTGCGCTGATTGATCTGATTGCCTCGAAAACACACAAAAGCGTCTGGAGCGAGCTAAGAGCGAGCTGATGCATTGGCTTGGTTGACGGCTCCGAGCCACTCATAAGCCCGTCTGAATGAAACCTCTTAGCACTGCCTGCACAGCAGCGCTTTGGAGGGTGGCGCAGCCGTAGCCGTAGCTTCTCTCAACTTGTGGAAGGCCTCATGCCTGGAAGCCTCGGCCGTCCCTCGAACTTCACCGAACCGAGGTCTACGGCGCAGCGCCAAGCGGCCTTGCTTGAGGCCTTGAAGATGTCAGAGAGATTTCGGCGTGTGAGTATCAGGACGTGCGGTGCACAGGTCGTTTTTGAGTATCCCGACAGAATGCTCGACGGTTCTACTGGTAAGATGTTCTGAGACTTAAACACTCAAACCCTAGAAGGTGCCCAAGCCGAGGGATGGAGTTTTCAGAGATCCGAACCGAATCAGGCGCTGCTTGTTTCGTCCTGGCTTGGGGCCCATGGCAGTTTTGGAGCTGCCCCCCGACTCAGGAAGGCACATGTCGGAGCGTGAAAGCACGAAGATCAGCAAAAGAACCATGACACAGGTGCTCTGAACGTCAAACGAGTGTATTGAGTTATGAGGCATCGAAATCGGACATAGTTAGATCGACCACATGTGATGATGTTGCCACGTCTGCCTGTAAGAACTGGATACGCACTGGAGCATTTTCATGTTGGCCTCGCTGCCTCCAGCCCTGAGCCGTGAACCCTCGGACGCTCTGCCAGGCTGCCACTTTGGGTCGCCATGAACGCGCTGTTCGATCTCGGTCTCCGGAGGACCACTCTGATCTTTCGGAAGGGTTGAAGCGCCAAGCAGCTCTCAAATGCCCCAGACTCCCGAACTCTGTGCGTGCTTTTCTCTATGTCCCCCGGAACGGTGCTTGTTTTCCGCTTTGTGCCGGCCATTTGCTTCCAGTATTGTTGGTGGTACCCTGCCGTGGGTCTGCATGTCTGTCTGTTGCGTACGAATTGTCACCACAACCAGCATCCCTTTCATGTTCGCCAAGGAGAACACAGGGTGCCTTGTCGGTTTCAGGTGACAGCGTTTGCAGCACCGCGTGGCATGGAGCCCGTATTAGCCGTTGCAAAATCTGCTCACGCAGCTGCAGTGTGAGGCGGGACTTTGCGAAAAGAGCATGTCTATAGGATTCCATCGGCACACTTGCGGTGACCACGTGGCTCACAGAGAAGGTTTGCAGTGCTATCTCCATCGAGCCACAGTGTGGTGTCCGCGCTTGTGCCAATGTTTTGACTGTTTAGGCCAGTTCATTGTGTGGCGACCGTTGTCTTGCTGAGTTTGACTGCAACTCAGACTGTTTCGAACGGCAGCTCTGCTTCATGCTTCACCCAATCATGGCGTCGGATAGTGGAGGACTGTGGACGCAGCAGTGAGCATTGGCGGGATGACGTCTGCCACGCCCGTGCTGGTCTTGGCCTGCGCAGTCTGGCTGCACATGCTCATGTTGTGTCACGTCTGGAAGAGCCCTGTGAGACTGTCGGTAGCCAACGTGCCTCGCAGCTCTCTCAGCTCTTAACGGCACGACTGCTTCTTGCACCGATCACGAGAGCTGGGGTTGCCCAGTTCTCGTGATCAGTGCAAGCAGCACACGTGCCGTCTCTGAGGCCCGTTTGGTCGTAGGCGCCGGAGAGCGACTGGAAACCTTTGCTGCGCCTGTGTGCGCTGACTCCATAGCTTCGGAGACAAAAGCCTCGGAAACGTGCTGAGGGTTTTGGTGCTCGGCGTAAACCCGTCTGTATGAAACCTGTTCGCACTGCCTGCGCAGCATCGTTTTGGCGAGCGCCGAAGCTTTAGGTATCCTCAGCTGCCGAAGCTTGCCTCAAGCCTCGACCCTCACACTTCACAGAACCGAGGTCGATGAGGTTCTGCTCCTCTCGGGAAAGAGTCTACAGCGCAGTGCCGATCGTCCTTGCCCGAGGCCTTGAACATGTCAGCGAGATTTCGGTGTTTATGTTGCCGGACGCGCGGTGCACAGGTGTGTCTTTGATGTTCCCGACAGACTGCTCAAAGCTTCTGAGACTCAAAAACACTGAAACCCCAGAAGGTGCCTGCTTGCTTGGGGCCTAGGGGCCCATGCTGCCTGCAGTTTTGAAGCTGCCCCCCCCCGGACTCAGCACGAAATCATGCAAATCAGAGAAAGAACGGGTTTTCTGAAACTCGGACGAGGGTATGGAGTTGTGATGCATCACAATACCATGAAACGTAGGGTGGACCGCCACTTCTGCATGCAAAGTTTGGTAGCCGTGAACATCGTGAACCCTCGGATGCTCTGCCAGGCTGCCACTTTGGATCTCCAAGAACGCGCTGTTCCATCTCGGACTCAGGAGGACCGCTCCGATCTTTAGGAAGGGTTGCATCTAAAAGTCCCAGAATCCTGAACTCTCTGCTTGTTCTTGTCTGCATCCCCAGAACGGCGATTGCTTGTCGCGTGCCCGTCACGTGCTTCTACTATTCTTGGATGGTACACTGTCGTGGGATGTCGTAGGTCTGCATGACTGTCTGACGCTCAAGTAGCTAAGTTGAGGGTTGTGCTCACGCAGCTGCAGTGTGAGGCGGGACTCTTCGAAAAGAGCATGCTAGGAGCAGACTCTTGCGGTGACCAAGAGTCTTAGAGCACAGAAGGTCTGTAGAATTCTGTAGTGCTATCTCCACCGAGCAGCCCTGTGTTGTCCACTTAGACTTGTGCAGCAACATCCTTCTTTTCATAATTTGGGCCACTTAGGTCTGTTTATGGTGTGGTGACCGTTGTCTTTTCATGTTGACTGTAGACAGCTATAGCCTGGCGCAGCGGAGGACTGGACGCAGCATTGTTTTTTATTGGGTTTGGGGGGATTTTGGGGGGAGTTGCTTGGCAAGGCGAAGCGCCACATTTGTTTCTGCTGCAAGCTTAGCCCCAGTTTGTTGTCAGCCTGATACCCAGATTTGGCAGGAAGACATCCGCCGCACGTGCCGTACCCGTGCTCTTAAAGAGTTGTCTCTGAGCCCTGGCCTTGGCCCGCGCAGTCTGGCTCACATGCTCATGTTCTGTCACGTCTGCAAGATTCTCTTCGAGACTGTCGGTAGCCCTTCGTTTACGCTGCCTCGCAGCTCTTTCAGCTCTCAACAGCACACTTGCTTCCTGAACCCGGCCGGCAGCCCCTGGACGTCTGGCTGCAGCAGCCAAAATCACGGAGTCCCTGCACATGACATCGCAGACCCACAAGCTGTGCTGAGCCCGCACCGCAGCTGCCCTGCTCCTACCACAAGAACTGAAAGCATCGGGCAACTGCGAGCAAGGCTCGTGGATCCACTCACCTGCTCTCTTTCGAATTCTTTGGTGAGGTGCATGAGCTCCTTGAGTCTCAAGGAGCTCCACCTCACCAACGAGGTTCCGCGTCTTTGGTGGGCAGAGGCCGGTGGAGGCTGTAGAGCATGGGAGGATCGTAGAGGCTGTAGAGCATGGGAGGATCCGTAGTCTTTGCGTGGGAGACACGGCACGTGCGCTTCGTCTCCTGGTGGATCTTAGATGCGGCTGCAGCCATAGCTCCCGCATCCCACAGGCGCCACAAGCCACGAGAGTCCTCATCCCAAGCAGGAGGATCTGGATGCAGCCGCAGCCTGAGGGCACGCCGAGCGGAACTGTACAAACTGCAGTCAAACTGCGCAGTTGGTCGTTCGGCTCACATTGTCTGATGACCGACTCGTGGGGCCTCGTCACCCCAGGCTGAACCTTCGCTGCGCGCCGGTGCGCTGACTCCATTGTTCGAAGCGATGGAGTCAGCGCACCCGGGCGCCGCGAAGGTTTTGCGGCACGGCGACAGACAAAGCCAGCCGCCAGTCTGGCAGCAGAACCTTTGCGGCGCCCGGGTGCTCCGAATGCTAGCTGATGCGCTGAAAAAAACTGTTGCAGCAAGCTTGTTGGTGCTTGGTTGGAAAAGCAGCAAATACTGTAGAATGACAGCTTTCAGTCACTCATAAACCCGTCTGAGTGAAACCTGTTAACACTGCCTGCACAGCAGGGTAGCTGCGTAGCCTCCCTCAACTCACCGCTCCTGTCTCAAGCCTCGGCCCTTCCGTCGACCCTCAAACTTCACCGAACCGAGGTTGGATGATGTTGTGCTCGGGATACCCACAGCGCAGTGTGAAGCGGCCTTGCCCCAGGCCTTCAAGATGTCAGAGAGAATTTGGCGTGTGAGTTTCAGGACGCGTGGTGCGCAGGTGGTCTTTGATGTTCCCGACAGAATGCTTAAAGGTTCTGAGAGGCAGGCATGCAAGCCCCACAAGGTGCCGAGATCCGAGTCTGGTTCCCTGCTGGTAGCTGGTCGGGTAGGGTTTGGAGTGCCTGCGGACCATGCAGCCTGCGGTTCTGGACCGACTCAGGAAGGCATGTGTCGGAGCACGAAAGCACATGAAAGAGCGAGAGTCAGAAAAACCATGGCACGGGTGCTCTGAAAGTCAAACGAGGGTGTTGCTTTGTGAGATGTTGTGAGGCATCACGGTGAAACGTTGGGTGGATCGACCACATGATACCGGCAACATCTGCCTGNNTGCCTGCAAAGATTAGCGTTTGATGTTGGCTGCGCTGCTGAGCCGTGAACCCCGAGATGCTCTGCCAGGCTACCACTTTGAGTCTCCATGAACGCGAGGACCGCTCTGGTCTTTCGGAAGGGTTGCATCTCCAATAGAACTCTCCAGTGCCCCGGGTGTCCCCGGAACGGCACTTGTTTTCCTTGTGCCCGTCACGTGCTTCTAGCATTGTTGCATGAAAATGTGCTTTGAGTGTGCTTTTCTCTGTCTGTAGGCAAGTCGAGCGGTTGCAGAAGCTTTTGACAGGTCCACTTGCCGCAATCAGAAGCTCTGATCGTGGGGGCTTGGAGAATTGTCGGATGGTTGATGATGGTTGCCTGCCATGCGTTTGCATGTCTGTAGTGTGGACCCCGGAGAGGCACGTACGCCTCTAGTTCACACTTGTGTAGCAACATCCCTTTTAATGCCTGATTTGTATGCCTGTTCATGGAGCGCGGAACACTTTCTTAATCAAGTTGGCCGTAACTCAGACTGTAAGCCTTCTCCGTCTCAGGTGGGTTGGTGGTTCCTTCTCAAGCTGAAGCAGCATTTGCTTTGTAGTTTACGCTTGTTTCAAACTCGTCTGTGCTCGATACCCAGAGTGAATAGCGACAGGATGACATTTGCCACGCCCGTGCTTCCGGAGAGATGTCTTGAGTCTCCAAGCCCTGGCCTTGGCCTGCGCAGTCTGTTTGCACATGCTCATGTTCTGTCACGTCTGCAAGATGCTCTTCGAGACTGAGCAACGTGCCTCGCCGCTCTTTCAGCTCTCAACGGCACATGTGTGTAAGAAGCACGTGAAGCCCCGACCCCGGCCAGCCGAATGTCGGCAATCGACAAGAGCGGTGGTGCTGACCCGCGCCTTCTCGGCCGCGAAAGCTGGCCACAGCAGAACTCCGGCCAAAAGGAGCGCGCTCTTAGCAGACCATAGCAGACCAACAACTTGCAGTGAGCCCACAGCTGCCATGAGCTGCCTTGCTCCTGCCACAGGAGCTAGAAGCATCCAAGACTTCTGGATCCGAAGCAGTCCGAAGCCAAGTCAAGAATCAGACAATAATCAGGGCTGTCTTCGGCTCAGACTGTGCTGTCTCTCGAGCTCTCTGGTGAGGTGGATGAGGTCTTGCAGAGGGCACCCGGGAGGTTCCGCGGCTTGGTTGGCGGTGCCTGGCAGAGGGTGCAAGGAATCTTCCGCCGCAGCAGCAGCGGCACAGCAGACGAAGAAGATCTTCAAGTTGGAGGAAACGACGCGTCCGCGGATGGGGCCGAGATGTTGGAGAGCCAGGCAGCCTCCTTTGACGGCGATTTCCGGATGCTGCCTCCCAGCGCCTGGGAGGCTCTGCATGCTCGCTTCCGCCCGACAAAGCTCGAGCAGGAGGCAGACGCTGCAGCCACGTCTCCGGTGTCAATCGAGACCGCCGCCACCGACATGCCCGTCGAAACGACGAGCCAAGCGTCGGAATCCCAAGATCCGGACGCTAAGCTTAACTATGCCTCATCAAACTGCAGTATTGCTCGTGTCGCTGACATTGTGCGATTCAGCAGTCGGGCCTGGCCTAGTCACCGCTGCTGCCCAGGCATTGACCGAAGCACCGCCGTCGCCGGAGAGCGACTGGTGGCTGGCCTTGTGCATCGCCGTGCAGCAGAACCTTTGCTGCGCCCGCGTTCGCTGATAGCTTCGAAAGCAAAAATACGTGTGGAGGGTGCTGATGGTTTCTGTGCTTGGTTGGAGATTTCGAGCCATTCAAATGTCGTGTGATTGAAACCTTTTAAACACTGCATGTGCAGCTGCATCAAGCCTCGACGCTTCCGTCTAGCCTCAAACAGCCTCAAACTTCTCAGCGTCAAGGTCGATGATCTTCTCCTCTTCGGGGGATACCTGCAGCACGCTGTCAAGCGGCCTGAGGCCTTGGAGATGTAGGGGCGGGGTAGGCATAGATGTTATGGATTATATGGGGTGTGTTGATGGTTTTGAACACCGGTAACATGTAGAGCAAGTTTGACGTCGAGTGTTTGATATCCTGCAGTTCAGAGCTCAAAATTAATCGAACTCGACGTACAAGTAAAGGGAAACACGTGGGTGCCCCATTCGGAGCTTCTGCTGATAGCAGCTTTGACAATGGATCTACATATCCGGTTGCATACTGAAGACAAGTGGACCTGACATCGATGCTCCAAAGCTGCTCAAAATCTGCTTCATGTGCCTGAGCAGGCACCATCCATCAGCACTGAGAAATGCGAGTGCGAGTAGAGAACGGTCAGGCGGGCGGCAGCAAAATGATGCAAAAGGAATGTCAGGCTCAGGAAGAATTTTCTTGGAGATTAGGGATGTGAGCGGCTCCCTACTGCTGCTTGCAACCTGATGGCAAGTGCGGCGGAGCTGTGTGCGGAGATTTTCTACAGCTTTGTTCGAGGGTTTCGAGGGTATACATGAGATCTGCTGGTTTTCTTCTGCTAATGCTGCTGTCTAGGTGGGGAGTCGTGAGTGGCATCGGGCAAGCGGACGTGATTTTCGATCGATGAGACCTGTGATGATCTCCTCATGACCATGCGCAGAGTGCTTGGGTAATTTAGTGGCCTCCGACTCGCCATTGGGATTTAGATGTGACGTGACGCCCGCTGGTCCATGGGCACCTTTCGCTCGTGCCGTTGCATTCGGGCTCAGCCGAATTTTCTCAACTTGGCGCCATACTCGGGGACGAGCGTGAATCCAAGCGAAGTGCAGCAGAGCATAGCTGCCCATCGCTTCAGCAAGTTACACAGGGGTGGGGCATCCAGGCTTCTCCACGCCCTTCTCTGAGAGCAGCTGCGAATGTCTGAGGCAAAGTGTCAGTCTTCGAGAGATGGCTGGTGAAGCGAAAGAAGAGCTGGGCACCGAGTTTGGACGCAGAGTTTCTGACACGAATCAGCTCTTGCAGAATCATGGCAACCAGCCAAGGGAAGGCTGAGTGTATGATGTAAGTTGATATAAGCAATATAAGCCATACAACATAATGGTGTTGAATATCGGATACCTTGAACTAATACAGAAATATGTTTCGGAAGCAAGATACTATCATGTTTTGCTGTGACGTTTTAGTCGACACAATGCCTGACCCGTGTGCGGGCACGAGCCGCTTTGAGAAGCCGTTGGCCAGTTATCACAAGAAACTTGCGGGGGCTCGAGCCCGTAAGCAGCGGCAGCGGCGACAACCTACATTCCTGCCAAGATTCCAGTAAAAGCAGCGACAGCTCGTCCGACAGCAGCAGCTGAAAAGTCTGTGTGCTAGTGCCTTTCTTAGGAATACATGCATGCATCCCCAAAATCCTACATGTACTACTAAGTATCTGGTTTCCTTTTTGCCACATGAAGCGGCACACACTACAGCCGCAGTATCGTCCGTTTCGGGAACAAGCATGTTGACAACAACGCATCCATAATATATATATATATATATACATACGTTACATACAGATGTATGTATGTATGTATGTATGTATGTATGTATGTATATAAATATATACATATACATGTATATTATGTACGTATTATATATATATATACATGTGTATATATATATATACACGCATGTATATGTATTTGTTGCTTTCGCAGTGGAGAGGACTTGAAACCGAGGTCCGAGATGGAGTCGCTACAGAGGTCAATGTCAGAGATTGACGAAGAGCGCAGGACCCGAGCTAGGCTTGAAGGTCGGTTTAGGGCTTGAGGGTTTTAGGGTTTAGGGTTAATTAAGAGGATTGAGGGTCTGAGGTTTAGGGGTTTTTGGTTTGAGGGTTTAGGGCCGAGCTGCACTTCGCATGAGAAACTCTGCCATGTTGAGGGCCAGTGCCAAGCCGAGTGGTGATAGTGTCAGTGCTTGAAGTTTAGATTGAAGCACTCTCACCACAAGCCGCAAACTTAGGCTCACAGTGGTTTGATTAGACCAGCATGGCAAGCAGGCCAGGTGCGCGGCATAAGCAAACTCACAGGAAAATGCCATCGCGCGACCTCCAGATAAAATGGGCTCTAACAGTAGAGTGGTCGCATGCCGATTCCAGCCTTCGCTGCAGGGTCCAGGCATCGGGACAAGCTACAGTCCGTGCGCTTAAGCGACCATGGGCTGTCGCAATCTTTGGGCATTGACATAAAGTCCATGTTCTTTTCGAACTGGGAGCTCATGAGCATGCCTTAGGACCTGGCATATTCGAGCGCTGCAGGCAGAGGCGGAGGCCAGTTGGTAACACACAGTCGCAGAGACGCTTTGGAAGGAAGATGTCTGAATCACCGTCTTGCAAGGACGCGACTGCAGCATGAAGCGTCGTAAAGAAGTATCTATTGCGGTACGGCAGGTGCGAGCCTTGAAGCGACAGCGGCACGGAAGCAGGCGATTTGATTGGATGGGCACACATGGCACATCATTGTAGACTGCCATGTCCTTGAAGGGTGCACTGGGTTTGTTTCCTTCCTGCGCGCAAACTCTGAAGCAAGTTTCTGCAACTATATCGCGAAGATCCCGCGCGGAATCTGGCAATGCTTCTGCACGGAGCACTGACAGCTTGCTTCAACCATAAATGTCCCGACTTCCACTCGGCAAGGGCAGAGAGTGCGTCCAACGATGCCGAATTGCCGGGCACTCAAGTTGAGAGGAGATGATGTGACTGGTCTGCATCATTGCGATTATGGCAATTATTATGCATGTCGTGGTACGAGGTGAGATCTCGTACACGCATCGTGCAAACGACATGCATGGACGAACGAAGGAACGAGCGACTGTTTAGATTTGGGATAGGAGTGATGTGAAAGTTGGTGTGTTGCGTTTATATGTACTGGCCCTATGAATAAATGTGTTATGGTAAAGGTTCGATTCAAGCACTCGCACCCAATCGAGCACTGGTCTTTACATAGATACGGGTAGTTCTCTAAAGTAGGGTCCCTTTTTAGGCCCCAAAAAAGTACGGCACCCTTCTAAAAAGGACCCGAAAAAAGGGGACTTTCGTCCCATGAAGTTCAAGAAGTGGTGCGAGGCCTTCTCCCGGCTCCGCAGAGGCACCTGAGGCACAGCTGATCGCAGGATGCGCTGAGAATAGAGCCGGGGCTGCTTCTGGTAGAGGCTAGAGAAGAGTCGGTTGTGTGAGCGCGTGTTTGATGCGCCGTATCCTGGACATGGTGACCCTGAGTATTGTGCTGTAATGTTTGGATAGCTTGCAGTTGTTGGTGAGCGTTCAGTGCCTGAGAAGGATGTTAGAATCTGTGAATCCGCAAACACGTGGACAAGGAGGAAACTGACGAAGACTCCGGAGCCAAAAGTATGGCAAGAGTTTGCAGAAAGGGTCGTCGGAAGCTAGATTGCCAGCAGACGGAAGACATTCCTCCCTCCTCCATAAGTCATTTGCGATCCAACCTGTGCGCCCCTGCTGCGAAGACGGATTGCCAGACTGAATGACTAGAACACGTGCCAACTCAAAAGCCGCTGCGAGGCGCGTGACATGCGTCCGCTGCAGCATATCACTTTCTCTGGCATTGATGCTGCAAACCCGCCAAGCCGCCTCCACATGACTGAAGACTATTCACTGCGAGCTTGCAAAGCACAGCGAATACAGCAAGAACGGCAGTGTGCCAGCTGCTTCGAAAAACTCGTCACAATCGTCAGAAATATTCGCCAATTTCAGACCGCAGCTTGGAGCTCTCAACAGATGCCCTGTGCCGCGATTGATCCCAGAGGCCTCGCGAGCAGCCGCCGGAGCCGGTGGGTCGGAGCCACGGACATTGAAGCGAAGCCACGGAGCCTTCGACATAGGCAGTCTTTGTGTACTAAGGACTGCGGTGCCAGTGGCTTGCATGCATCGGCTGCGGTTGTTCACTGTTTCCTTGTAACAATTACATTTCGTGTTGAGGAGTTGTCACTAGTTGTATGCCCTTCGTCATCGTTCTTTTCTCGAGCCGTGATCATTACAATAGCCTAACCACTAACTCTGCAGGCTGTCATTGTTGTCCTCTGTGATTCCTCTTACTAGTGTCGAAACGTGTTGTTACTGCAGTTCTCGCTGGCATCACTGCTGCGATGTCTTGGAGATGCTGGGAGCACTGCTATTTCCGCTGTCGGTGCTTTTCATATTACGAAGCCACAACTGCTGCACCCCAAACACCAAGCGACCATGTGCTTTCCAATGATTTCGGTGCAACATCTGCACCGTGCCAGACTGAGAGATGCAGAAACCGTTGGGTGTGTCACTCGCGGTGGCATGGCCCGAAACGCACGATCCCACACGAACTGTTGATCGGCTGTTTATTGACATTGACGAAGTTGTTGATTGCAAGGGCGATGACGGTCAGGACGAGCGAAATAGCAGCCGTAAAGCAGAGGGTGCTATAGGGTGCTACTATTGGTATGCAAAGTACTCAAGAGGAAGAGCAGCGCAACCGAGTCGACGGTGTTACGGATTGAAGCCGTTGTGCCCAGTCTGTACGATCGCCGGAAGCAGCAGCTTCAGATCATCATCATCTCCGTCATCACATACAGCGAGACTTATCTCAAACTGCGCACGGCCATCCACTCGGCCGAAGCTAAGGAGATGCAGGAGCCCAGCACTCGGACGAAGCTGCATCCTGCAGCCTGGGAGCCAGCAGAAAACAGAGAGTCTGAGGCTGCGCGAGCAGCTGGAGAAGAAGGATCGTGCCATCCTCCAGCTGCAGGCTTCTTGCATTTCCAGGAATGATGTTGAATGCAAGCGCAAGAGCCCGTCATCACAAGGTCTTCTAGCAAGTCAAGACTTGGAGTGTGCTGTAGCTCCATGATTTGGTCGACTGGTCCCGCACGAGATCAATCACGCAGGCGGACAACCACCGCGAGCAGCAAACCCGCGACAAGCAGTCTGCCGAGAAGCAGATGCGCCTCGGAAAGTAATTCCTGCTTTGGCCTTTCTCGGTTTGTACATGTTTCGAATGCTGGCAGTGCAGAAGCTCGAACAATGAGGATGCTGAGCGAGGAGTTGCGCGAGATGACGCAGCGCATCTTGGATATGTTTGATGAAGGGCCCCTTGTGTCGACGTAGTATCCTCATGGAGGTCTACTTTGTTTGGAAGCTCCTTGAGATCAGGCGCAGAGCACTTGTCGGAGCAAGTGCGCAAGAGCAAGAAGCGCGGCACGGAGCTGCAGGACTAGGGTCTGTGTTTGATGCTTGAAGAGCCATCCAGCGTGTGTCGGAAATTGAAAAAGGCCTGTTCCGCTTTGCTGGTTCAACTCTTGCACTTCTTCAAACATTTTTGCATCCAACATATACCAATATCTCGAGATCCCCAACTTTCGGAATACAATATGCGAAGCAGCATGCCTGAAAAGCCCCCCCAAGGAGGCCAAGGACTCCGTCCGCTCCGAGCTTCGGGAGTGCCAGGTAGCGCTGGGCATGAAAATTTCCAGAGTCCAGAGACATATCTTTTGTGTTCTTGTTCCTTTCGTCCATGTTGCTTCGTACAGCAATTCTGTCGGGATGGGGCCTGATTTGCGGTTTAGGGTGCGGAGTGTTGGGATCTAATACAAGACGAACGGAATCAACATCAGCAAGCAAAGTGTGTTGGAGAAGTTCGCCCAAGGCGGTTTTGTTGCCTGTTCTGACGTAGCATGTTGTTGCTTCTTCTGTAATGTGACGAATCTGTTTTTGTGTGTCTTTCTGTCTGTGCCTAGTTGTACCTGTGTTTGTGTATGTGTGTGTGTGTGTGTGTTTGTCTGTCTGTTTGCCTCTGTGTGTGTGTGTTTGATTTGTGTTGTTTTGCATCGCGGTGGTTATTGCAAGAAGCTGTGAGATGCCGCAATACTCAGCTGCAGCTCTTGTAGCACTGTAATGATGTGTGTATCCAAAAAGGATGTTCGTGGAAGTCGCTTAATTCACCAGGGAGAGCTTTAGTGACCCTACTGTTTATCGATGCTGCTAACCGGAAGTCAATGACAATGAGGTTAGAAGTCAAACAGTCGAAGCCGTCACAGAGTTGTCTAGAACTGGGCATCAACTCGGCTGTTGAGACTGGCTTGGTAGAGTTCCGCCTGCGTTCTGTAGAGCAATCATAAGCGCATGCAAACCATCGACCAAAGAGTGACACCAGGAAGCGATCATCTAGAATGCTTGGCCAAACGGAATCAGAGTGCGAGAATGTTTGACTGGTTTGCATGGTTTGTTCCGGCTTTGCCTTAGTTTTGGTGACTCACTGACCTCTGTTCTTTGCTTAGCTATCGTCATGTTATCAAAGGTGCTTCTGCAGCGATGCATGTAACGATCTCCACATTTGCCCCCTAACAGGCGCAGCTCAGGAAAGAGATTTCGGCTACGGGCTTGGTTGTAGAATTGATTAGATGCTACAGGCAGTGCGCTAGCATGTCATCCCTCGCGCCATCCGACACTGACTGATGCTGCTGCACACAGATGTGGAGTACACGATTGGCCTGTAGAACCCCACATCTCTGAAGAGCATGGGTGTGCCTCGAGACTCGTTTCTGCGACGGTTGTTCATTAAGGTTCGTTCCGAAATCCAGACGGAGGCCATGGAGGAAAGCACCTTTCTTTCCCAGCTGTCATGCTCAGAGCGTTGTGGCTTCGTGCAAGCAGAGCTTCAAGACTGCAAACCTGCGCTGGGCTGAGTTCAGAGTGCAGGCTGAGATGTTTTTCAGCCTCAGCGAGACGAAGCAGGCCTGGCTGTTTGTTGGAAGGAGGGCCAGTTGTGCCAAGGGGATTCGTGTGAAACCTTCGCCACAGCCTGACAATTTTCCAGAGATTCTGAGCTGCCAAGCCTTGTGGAGTAATCAAAGCTGGCTTCGATACCAATGCTAGGAGTTGAGATAGAGGCAGCAAGTGATCTCCGTGGAGCCTTCTCATGTGCAAGGAGGCGGATGCCACCGACGCCATCTCCTTGGGTCTGCCTGGTCCTGTTTGGTGCTGCCTCTGAATCGGTGTCTAGAACGGCTGTCCAGCAGCCGGTCATATGTGCCCATTCCTTTGCTTTGCTCCCACTTTCTTGTTTCTGCCGCGCGACCTTTGTTTATCTTTTTTCTCCTCCGTGCTCTGGCACTCGCTGGGCCTCTGTCCCTACCGATGTGCCGCCCGGTCTTGGTTGGCAAGCCCCTACAAGACCAGGTCAGCTTTAAAGTGCGAGTTGTTTCATGCGCGTGCGCGAAAAACTCCACTGCGTTGACCTTTGGGTTTGCTGAGACGAACTTTGCACAAACGCCGAGCCTGTGCTTGTGTGCTTGAACCTCTGGTATCCCATGCTGCATCCCTAAGTTTGTGGTTATGTGCCTGTGCTGCGCTTCTCGCCCGGGCCGGGATGACAAGACAGAAGAGACACGGTGCACGCAACAGCGTGATGCCGAGACCTCGAGACCCTACTTGTGCTTGACGGGAGGCTGGAACCTGTAGACCCGGCACGTCGGCATGGAGTTTTCATTTCCCGGTGTTCGGCCCGAATTATATCCTTGGACTTGAGGGCATTCATGCCTGGCGGTTCGGTTTAGGTGTGCCAGGTTCAAGGTCTGCATGTCTCGGCCAGGTGATGATGCATCTGGTGCAGGCACAAAGAAGCTGCCAGGTGCGCCCCAGCTAGTATTTTGGGTCTTCACAAACTGGACTCCGTGAGCAGCATGTCTGCCTTTCCTTGAAATGTTGTCGGGTGTTCACGCCAGGTGATGAGGCACCTAGCGCAGGTGCAAAGAAGCTTTCAGGCACGGCAACACTGCCTTCTCGATGTGTTTGGACGAGTAGGATGCTGGTACTATACCTGCATTTGGAAGCTGCAAACTATGGCATCCGGCTTGCAGGCTACCAGGGTAAGCTTGCTCAATGCCTTGCGGTGCTGCGGAGGCTGAGGGGCTTCCCCACGAAGAAACGTCACAGTTCAGACTATGTAGCTTGGGGATCCCGGCTTCGTAGTTTTTCGAGGTTTCACAGTTTGTATGGAATGCTGGACGCTGGCCTGTGCAGGTCGTCAGCAGTCGGACAATTAGGAAAGTCGTGTCCCTTCTTCGGCCACACGCTCCCCTCCCCCTTTCATTCCAGAGGTGCAGTTTTGGCGTCTGTCGCCCATTCGAAGAAGCTTTGCATTTGGGGTCACGCAGCTTCCAATGCATGGGCGTGCTAGTGTAGAGAATGCCACAGATCAGCACGATAAAGCCGAAGCTTCAGGCAATTCGAGCATTCTAACAGATCCCCTGAATGCATGTGCAGTTCGTCTTGCATCAACCTCAGTGGCGATCTGACGCAACCCGAGTCACACCCCAAGCCCTGAACTCCCTCCTGTGATTGTGGAGACTCCGCGAAAACTGCAGTATATTATACGATACTTTTCCATACTATTGTACTATATTATAATATATTATTATTCTACAATTTTATTTTATGTTTTGCTATCAGATGAAGTCATGCCTGCAGGCTCCAAGGGGAGCTTTCCTCAGAGCTCCGCGCCCGCGCACCAGGCTTCCGTTCTGGTCGGTGGAAAATGCAGCATGAATTGAATGAATTAGTATTTATATACACACATACATACGCACACACATACATACATACATACATACATACATACATACATACATACTTTCGTAGATACATGCGTACATACATAGATGTAAACGTGTAGATATACACATACAAATCACATACAATATATCAAATAATAATCATTCCATATCATATTAAACAAGCTGATAAACACAATGCAACATAAGGAAAGATAACATAATGGAATGTATGTATAGATATATATAGAGAGAGAGAGAGTAGAACACATATAATATAGCATAATAGCACAACATAGCACAGGAAAGTGTAGTATAGTATAGCATGGTAGAATATGATGTCATCTATATGGTATGATATGCATATAAATATGCCGTGATACAAACATATAGACACACAGCATTCTCTTCATGGTCATCTTCATCCCCATGCCCCCCTAAGGCATGGCTCTTGGCGTCTCCTTGGCATCCGTATCGCAAGTATCACTTACCAACACAGAAAACACTGTCAGTGCAGAATACGCAGCAGCAGGAGCTCAAGAAGAGCAAGAACGAGCAACTCAGGATAGTAAGAAAGCTAACATCGAGAAGAAGCAGCAGAAGAAGGACGACGACGACGACCACAACGACAAGCACAACAACAAAAACTGACTGACAAACAGAAGCGAGATTTCAAATTGTCACTACTTTCTCATTCGACTGCCATGAACGCAGACATCACATCGGCATTTGCACTGTTCCTGCAGCTCGACAGAGACTCTGCACACAAACCCCGGACCGCTGATTTCGAAGGTGACAGAGATGGCGGTGATAACTTGTATGATAATGATGACTGGTGACACTGCTGGTGACACCCGTGGCGATGGCCATCGCTGTAGCTGATACACACAGCACTACTAGTAACAATTGTAGCGATGCAACCCAGAATCAACGATTGCAGAAATATTAATAGTTTCGAACGACGGTGATCAGAATGCCGACACGACCGCGATGACCGATCAAACTACCGTGATGAACACAGAAAGAAGGATCAGAGCAGTAGATGGAAAAAGGAGGATGCAATCACAAGCTTGGTAAGGCAAGGCAGGAGTGGGGAACCGCATGATCGAACTGACCCGCATAGCATTCCATCTGGTGAGCTGCCGATATGACAGGTAGAAGTTCTGACGACTCGGAAGTTGCAGCCTGAGCTCTTACTCCAAGTCCCGGTCGGAAAGACTGCACCATTCCTTGAGGCAATGACTCGGATATTCCAGCAGATAGACAAGGCAAAGCAGCCAGTTCAATTGCATGCTGTGGCTTGTGTGAGACCACATTCACCGGGCCTTGTCAGATCCACAATTTGGCAGTTTCGAGAGCCTTGTGCAGCTGGCAGGCGCAGCATCTCATCGACGGCGTGCTGCCAAGTGCCGGAAGCAGCCCACTTGCTGGGGCCAGATCCTCTGATAGCCCATGCTGCGGCTAATCAACCGCTGATAATTGCGTTTGTGCGACTGTTTTAGAGTGTTGCCGATCGAAGTGCAAATTGATGCTGCCTCTGGTTTTTGTTCGAACACGCCCCCGTACTTAGATTCACACTCATTGAAAGCAGTTCGCACAGCCAGCACGACTGCCAGCAAGAATACGAGAATAGCAACAGCCATCGTCAGGGTCGCCGTGGTTAGGATGATGATGCTTCCTGACGAGTCGGAGATGGGACGGTAGTGGACGGCACACCTTGCTGCCTTTTAGGCCGGCCCGCCTTCGTCGAGCACCAAGCAGCCTGCAAGCGATGGCCTTTGTTGTCTCGGCCGAGAGTTCAATCGATGTTTTGGGAGGAGGGCATGCAGAGCAAGATACTCCAAGCAAGATGGGCATTATCAAGGGAGCAACTGACGTGTTCGGCGTGCATCTATCCGAATCTATCCGAGAAGTGTCAACGGATGATGCTAGCTTCTGCTTGATGACACCGCAGCCTGCTTTGGACTTGAGCATTCAGGGTCCAGCCTCATTGCCCAGCTGGTGTTCCCTTCTCAGGCCCAGAAGCAGAGAGGCCGCTACCCGAGGCGCATTTGGTGTTCAGACCTTTGGGTCACGGAGTTTGGGCTCCTCTGAATTCCAAGTGGCACCCTTCTTTTCAGGGTTCCTAACGAACTGTTTTTGTTCGGCCCATCCGATTGTGATGTATCAGACGTCTCGTGGCAAGAAGGAACCGTCATTGAAATTGGGGAATGGTTGAACAGGTGGGGATGTCGATTGTTAGGAGTTTCTGTGTAACACCTGCAAGATGTCCCTAAGCTTCCACATCGCCTGTCGCACTCGAGGACCTGAAAAACCTGGTCCGGGGAGTCTCGACTCCAAGTTCGCTCGTGGGCTCGCTTCTCAGATTCGGGAACCCGGACCTCGACGGCGTAGCGCTGCCGTACGTGGGTGTAGAGTGTAGAGGGATTGTGGAGAAGGGCTGGTGCCTGCCATGCTCCGATTGAAGCCACTCGGATCTTGAGGATCCCCTCCCAGCAAAGACTCCGAGGAGGCCTGGGGGAGGGTCGGAGATCTTGAAAGCAAGCTCAAAAGGGCGTGTTGCGCTTCCAACACACGTCTCACCAAGACGAGAGGGTCGGGCGCGAAAGTTGGCAGGCAGACCCTGAACTGTAGGCCTTGTTGATGAAGCTGGACATCAACGAGATCCGTGTCGCTGCCGAACTGGAGAAGCAGGCCGTTCCATGGCTTTCCCAAGCATTCCCCAGTCTCGCGACCAAGCCCCACAAGTGCTATCTGTCACAAAAGTACAAGGGCAGGATGAAGTCGGAACCAGCAATAGCAGCTATGGGGAGTTGCTCTGTCTCTGCCCAGAAGCTGATCACGGAGCACTGCGATGAGTTAGACGACCTCGTGCGCCGGCACGACAAGGTTGGCGGGCCCTTCGGGTTACGACCGAAGTCCGATTGAAAACACGGTCAGTCATGAGGAAGACTTGTTTTTGTGCTAGTGCCGTGTGCGCGTCTGTCCGGCGCACTGTGATTTGCCCAGACGAAAAGGATCCAAGCTTTCGCTTTATGCCTATGTACTGGTGATGGGGGAATCTAGGTGTGGTCAGATTGCCAAATAGAAGGAAAATATCTTTGAGTAGTGACCTCCAACCAACACCCTAAACCCTAAACCCTAAATCCTGATCCCCTGCCTCTTCTTCGACCCTTGGTTACAATTCTATCCCTGCAGCTGAGAAAACCCACGCTATGGATGGGATCTGTAATATGAGGAAGACTTAGTATACTGAAAAGTAGTAGTGCTAGCTACGACATTTGCAGGAGTAATAGAGTAATGAACAGTAAGAAGTAATAGCTCTTAAATTTTTGGAAAGACTTTAAACCTACATTACCTAATCAAGTATATAGATTCTCCCCCCTCGCTGGATAAACGGGCAGGAGAGGCGGGAGTTGCACAGGGAGCTAGCCGAGCTGCGCTCGGATCACGCTCGTGTCGAGGAGCGCGCGTAAAGTTGCCCTGTGGGGCTTTTTAAGGTTTTTTTTTTGGTTTGGAGTTTTGGGATTGAGGGCCCTGAATTGGCATAGGGGAGGGCTGTCATGATTTTGGATTCAGCTTATTTCACGGCTTTTTTGGGGGTTGAAGGGCTTCGGAGAAGGTAGCTTGGGGTCGAGGGCTTCAGGGATCTAAGGTTCTTTCCGGGCTCAGAGATGTGCTGTTGTGTACCCACATTAGCCGTCATGGTCGGAGCCAGAGGTCGTACCAGCCGTTGCATAAACGCATCAGCGTGCATCTAGGGGCCAGGGTGACGCTTGACACAACCGAGAGAGCATTCAACATACGCTGGACCAGCAGCGACGACAAAATCGCTTAGTGGTGAAGAGCTTCCGATAGCAAACCTTGAATCCCGTGAACTCTTTTGGCCGAAAGTGTGCTTGGACTTGTTTCTGACACACTCGCTTCGTGCAAAACCTGAAGCCCAGCATGCCTGCGCCAGGCGTCTGAGACGCTTCTACAGCCTCTTCAGGCCGGAAATCTTCGGAGCTTAGCTTCATTGCCTGGACACTTGGTCAAGCTCCACAGGCACAAAATCGAGAAAATCTGGGTGAGTCGGTCAGTTTGGTTCACGCTTTGAAGTGGCAGGAAACGTTTGACTGAAGTTTGTGGCTTAGGGTGCCGTAGCTGACCCTGATACCCAAATCTGTCCAGGAAATTCGTGAGCATTTCGAGAGCCAGGCGGGACACAGCAATCGGGTACCCGTCTTCGCGTCGTTCGCAATGTTGTTGGTTCTCGCAGTTTTAGTGGAGTGGGTGGAGGGCGCAGACATGCACCAGTCCAGTCTGATGCACAGACATCAAACTCCGATTGCAGTGCATTCAGGCTCCTTGTTGATATGCCTACCTGGAGTGGATTTATCGTCGGGTGGGAAAACCAAGAAACGGTCGGAAGCCCTCAACGACAGATGAAGACTGAAGCCTGCTTGAGCCTGACGGTGAAGTGGTAAGCCGAACAACCTGTGACGCCCGACTACCAGCCGAGTGGCGGCTTGTGCAGGGATTCGAGCCTGCGCGGCAGGGGCCAGCACTGAGCGAGTTCCCGAGGTCGTTGAGGTGAAGCAGGAGCTTGTGACACAGTTGGCCGTGAGGGGCTTAGCTTAGCACGTGCTTCACGACGAGGCGAGGTGCAATTACTTTGAATAAGTAGCTGACCTTGGATGTGTCTTTACGTGCAAGAACCCCAGCTGCACTTCGGCAGCTACATAGCGTGCCTGCATCTCGCAGAAGCATTGCAATGCGAAGCAAGGATATTCAAGAACGAAATCGTATGCAGAGTGGCCAGCACCTTACCTCAGATCGCCCGGATGTCCTCTCAGGCCATCGAAGTGTCCCAGGGCTGCTTCGGGATCTGTGGCAGTTATGTGCAACCCTCAAATTCGAGGCGAGGTGCAACTGGAGATGCGTCAGCTCAGAGATGAGCTCAAGAGGCCGATGGAGTTCATGGTGTGTAGCGAGGCTAGAGCTGCAGTGCTGCATCATCTTCGCTACAGTGATGTCAGAGACAGAGCTCTCTGTGCACTGGCATACCTCAGTCAAGAAGTATTGAAAGATGACGACACGAGGTGCCAGGACGAGCTCTCCAGTAGCCAGGCCGAGTTTCGGACGCTCTCCATGCTCTACGACAAGGACTCACGGTAGATAATCCGTTGCCCCGTATTCCCTAAATCCCTACTTACGGAGATGTAGGTCCTTCTTATCTTGCAATTCAGGAGCAGCGCGAGAACTACCGCCTACGGCAGACTGCCTGGCTTCTTGAGTTCCTGTTGTTTGCCAAGTCGCCCACTTCCAGCGCATGTTTCCCATGACAGGGAAAGCCAGCAACAAAGTGAGATGGCCTCCGGTCGGCACGAGGCTATGGAACGAAAGATGCTACACGTAGAGTTTTTCAAGAATGGACTGCTGCAATGCTTTACTCAACTTGCAAGGCCATTGGATTGGAACCTGTTGCCAGCGACGTGGCATCTTAGCTTGATTGGCGGGGAAAGAAGAGCCAAAGCTATGCAGCTACGTATTGGCCCCAGGCAAATCAGCATCCCACCCTCACTTCAGCAGACTACTCCATGGTACAAGCCTCAGTTCACATCTGCGATTCACAGCTTCCCTCCGAGTTGCCATGCACGTTTGCATGAGTTTTCTCCACTGAAAATTCCTGCCCGGTCTTTAAGAGGACCGAAAACGTCTTAGACAAGTCGAGCTCTTGAGGACACCACCGTGGCAACCGACATCCTGCCCGTGTCCGTGGCTTCTCCGGAGCGCGCCCACGAGGCGAGCTCCTCTGCAGCTGCGAAGTTGGCAAAACCGAAGTGTTTCCGGAGGCTGCGACAGCGAGCAACAGCAACTCTGTCACGATGGTGGTCGAAGAGAGCCAGCAGAAGCCCTACCTCACCGTCTTAGGTCGAAAATGTGCAGCACCCACGGCACCACTTGAATTCGTCACAGGGCCAACGGTGTTAAACATGTTCACATGATTGCTGCTGGTGCACTCAGGGCAGCAGCTGGAGCACAGCTGCAGGAGCGGCGTGCGTCTGCAGGGAAGAACAGAACAGAAAGTTAAAATAGGTGACTTACAGAAGGGCCTTGCATCTTTAGGAGGTGTCTTGTCGCAAATCGCTGCTCAGCCGATGGTCTGCAAGACAAAACCTGTCGGATAGGTCGCCGGCATTCCTGCGCCGCTGCCGGCACCCTCAGCCGCGGTGAAGCAGGTGGGCATGAAGATCAAGTCCACAGCCAGGTCCCAAGACCTTGAACAGTGTACATCATTGTACGGTACTCGTAGCATTCGCGAGCTTGACCTCTGCACAGATCCCAAAGGTCCAGGATGAGGGCCGAGAAGCGCCAGCGGCACCACCACTTGTGCCAACCCCAACGCAGGCTCAGAAAGAACTTTCAGCAGGTCCATGGCATTTCCAAACACACAGCAGCATTAGAAGCGTGAAAGGCTCGGCCGAGCATTCCGGCGGTGTCGGGCTCCCTGGTGACGTTGTTCAGCAGGGCGGCTGCCGTACTGTTTATTTTGAGGTCGGTGCTGCGCACTGCACTGCCGATTGCTGCGGTCCAAAGCCGCACGCTGCCAGCAGCAGCATTTCATCAAGCACATGACAGGCAGACTCATGCCAGTGCATGCAAGTCACGTCAGACAGGCTTCCTAAGCCCTGGCCCGCCCTGTTTTGAGGCTTGGCACGATGGCTGCTGCTCCCCAGACCCCCACGGTGTGCTCGGCAGCTTGACTAAACCTAATTCGCTTTGCAGCTGACATGCTCTGCTATGCTCGTGGAAGAACTAGAACTGCAGGTGGTGACCACCGGCCCAACCTCACACCGAAGGCGTCACGGGAACAGTTGAAGTCGCAGATCGGAGCAGACAGAGAGCTCCTTGTCACAGGGTTGGCACCACCACCACAACGACGACCACCACAAGGCCCTTCATCCCGCTACAGCCTCAGAGCTGGAGCAGCAGGAGACGTCTCGAAATGCCGGCTTTGACTCGGCAACTTACATTTCCATAGCTGGAGACAAGGCACCATCGCAGTGCGTCTACCTCGTCATGATTCGGGAAGCAAGCTGCGCAGTAGTGTCCTGAGCATCGGGACCCCGAGTCAGAAGCTGTGATGTCTCGAAACTCCATGCCTTTGCATGACATCGAGGTCGATCAGCTGAGCTGACCTGCAGTTTTTCCCCTCTTGTGGGAGACGGCCTGCGCCTTCCAGCGGGGGGGTGCAGGCCTCTCCCATTGCCGCTCGTCGGCGGTACGGCTAATGTAGTCCCCCAAAAGAGAAGAAGGATTGAAGAGAAGACATCATGGCAAAATAGCGCAACCGGAACAGGGTATCCAGCAGATTCAATCCGTCTTCGACCTCCAATCACCATTACACATTCAAAGCAAGTGGACATGTTCCCTCAGCATCCCACAGATAATTGGACAAGCAGGTTTCCAGCGTAGCTGGAGCCAGTGGCCTGTAGAAATTCACGAGATGTCAGGAGTGTCCTCGGTTCTGGTACGATGGGGGTGCGAGGCATGTCCTTGCCGCACCTCACTGGGCAAATGCCAGAGCTGGTGCGCAAGCGGCCGTTGTACGGACTCCGGATGGTCATGCTCAGCTCAGGAGTCCTTAAGCAAAATCCAAGGGTTTTGCTGGTGTATGTTCTTGCCTCCTGGCGGAGTGCATCGTCCGATAGATTTCTACAATGTGTCGTCCGTTATAGACGTGGAGCGGGAAGAGAGCCGCAGCCAAGCCATTTCTATGCTTCATCACACCGAAACAAAAAGCCCAGTGACAAGTCGTTCCAAAGCAGCTCTTCTGTGGCAATCACAGCTCTTGGCTAGGGTTTTCAATTCCTGCCCCCCGTTCAGCGGCTATGCGTTTGGCAGCTGCTGCAATAGAGCTTCCCCTGACGAGCGGACCCCGCCACTTTTGAGACCTGCAGAGTTCTAAGCACGAACATCATCGCCGTGGTCTCCTTTGACAAGGAGAAGCATTGCCGGCAGTTGCCAAATCCGCACGGTTGCCAAGAGGAAAAGCTGGAGATATGTTTCATTGAGTCATGACATTCACGGACTGCACATGTTGAAAGCTGCCGCCCTGCAGCTCGAGGACCACTGACTGGCTAATGCATGCCAGTTGTTTTGTAGCATGTTTGCGATGAGCTAACACATTGACACAAAGTCGAATCCACAAGGACGTGGACCATGTGACAATGTGGTCTTGCTCGCTTGACAATGACACCCCCTCAACCAAGTTGACCTGCATTTCAGCCAACAAAGCCAGCCTTGCCCAATGGCAAGTCTCCACCACGAACGTACGATGACTCGGTCTCGCTGAATGAAGGTGGCTCAAGGGCTCAAGGTTCAGTTTTCGGGTTCGAAGTTCGAAGTGGTTCGAAGGTCTGGCAAAGAATATGCCAGGTCGTGCGATGCCGGCACGGCTGACAATGATGCTGCGAAGGCGTGCACCTGGCATGTTACTGACCTGTAGCAGGGTCGCATCAATGCGCCTATTCATATAAAAAGCCATGGTTTAGGAATTAGTTTAACATCAGTCCCTACTAACTGTGAGAGAGTTGCCGCTGCTGTGGTGGTTTTAGGTGCCTTGTTGCTTTTCGGATTCCTGTCCGAGTGCAAGCACACTTCGATTGTTTGGAATTCTCCTCCCAAACACGTTGGGATGTTTGAATATGCTTGTTGTATGATGCATGCGATTCCGGATCCGCTAGTTTTGCTGCCGTGACCTGAAAGGTTTGACGTGTAGACGTGTTCATGTTCACCGTGGGACACCATTTTGGGCAGGCAGGTCCAGCATATAAGATTCAGTAAATCAGAGCACCTCTGACCAATTCCAACCGACTAGACTTGCATCCAGAGCGGGCAGGTTCAACAAGTGGAAGTCTGTGCCAGAGGTGGCTTGCAGTGACGTACCCTGAGGCCTGGAGTGTTTCAGCAGCTTTCAGCTGGCATCATTTGGAGAAGATGCGTCCGTCTTCATGGAAACTCGCGATGCATAGCCTGCGAACTCTCCTGCACCGCGCGTGGTTTTCGCAGTACACTTCAGCTCAAGAAAGCTTAGGTCCTGTACAGAAAAGCGAAGACGGGACACATGGGCGGCAGCGAAACCAAGGAGATTCATCACTACCATGAGGATAAGGAGTCCAAAGAGCTCGCTCGACAAACCCAAGAGCAGATGGAAACTCTGCGCGGGCAAATGGAGCAGGAGAAGAGGATGCAGGCCCAAACGGAGCAAAGGCATCAAGAAGCCTTGCGCAGAGCTGAGGAACTCCGTGCGGATGAGAAAGCAGCTGCGTTGCAGCGCCTCCAGCAGGAGCAGGAGAACCGAAAGAAGGACGAAGAAAGAGCTCGTGCGGAATTGGAAAAACAAGCTCGCGAAGCTGAAGAGCGCTTGGCCCAAGAACTTCAGAGACAGCGCGACAACGCGCACAAGGCCAAGCTTGAGAAGTGGCAAAGGCTGAAGCGAGACTATCCGATCCCAGACTTCCTCAAGAACTACGTCAATGAGGTGAGTGAGAATTCAGCAGCGGATGCTGATCGCGAACTTAATGTGAATGTGGCTCTGCTGGGGGATTCAGGAACCGGCAAGAGTTCCCTGATCAAAGCCATCCTGAAGCATTTCGGTGTCGACTTGCCTGCAGAACAGATGCCCCGAATCTCTATGGAAGGAGATGGCACGCTTGAGCCTAGCCGATTTCCACTTGCCGTCCTAGGTCAAGTCTCTCTCTGGGATCTGCCCGGGCAAGGAACTGCAAAGATTCCATCCCTGACCTACCTCTGCAACATGGGCCTGAAGTACTTCGATGCCATCTGCATCGTGACTGATGGTCGTTGGTCCGAAGGTGATGGCACCCTGCTGGCAGCCATTCACTACGCAGGGATTCGTTGCTTTGTGGTTCGCAGCAAGGTGGACCTTGCTGTGGATGCTGGTGCTGAGGACAAAGGATGGAGCCAAAGCAAGACCTTGTCCCATGTCCATCAGCAATTGCAGAAGCAAACCCGCCTGAAATCACATCGCATCCATCTCCTGACATCCAGGGAGCGCTTCTGGAAGGACTTCGGTTCTGTGGACGACTTCGCAACCGTCTCAAGCAAGAAGTGCAAGCTTCTCTGCGGGATGAGCCCGTAGAGCAGCTGTTCGATCAAGAGCCACAGGAGGACGTCAACATGGACGATTGCGACGACGGGGTGATGACGGGTTGAACATCTTCGCCTTGGTTCAAGGCGGACAACAACTGCTTGAAGCGTGTTGTGAAGCCTCAGCATGAGGCTGGTGCTTGATGAGCCATGTCGAGCGATATGTTCCCTACGTGGCTCGATTTTGCTGGTTTCCTCCACATGCTGCACGTATTGCAGCACAGATTAGTTCCGAAGCTCGTCTCGCAAGCTTCACTCTGCCCAAGCCAAGCGGCATGAATTGCTGCAACAATTCGTACAACTAGTCCTTAGTTAGCCTTAGTGGTTGTCGCCATCATAGTGAAAGTTTCCATTTTCATCATGGGCAGAGTCTTCCCCATGAATCTTCCCTGCCATGCTGTTCGCATCATTTCAGAGTAGCTGGTGGGGTGCTAACACAACGTCAGCCAGCATAGTTTTGTTGGTGCTTGCGCCACTTGATTCTGACTAAGAACATTCGTTAGATTTGCGAAGTTTCTGACAGTCAAGCTCTCCTGATTCGTGTCTATCTGATGGGCAGACGTTTCTCATGAAGCTTCCCCACCATGCTGCTCGCATCATTTTAGAGTAGCTGGTGGGGGCGCAACGACAAAGTGGCACGACGAACATGTGTTTGCCAAGAAATGCTGGAGAGCCATGAGATTCTGCAGACATGAAGTGCCTTTGCCATGGTGAGTTTGTTGTGAGTCTTGTGGATCTCGTGGTTTTGCAGGCCGGCTGCCTCTACCTCGGCGTGACGACTTGCAGTTGGAAGTTCCATGGGTTCTGAAGGGTGGGATGCCTACCTTGGAAGAGGGATCAACAAATCAAAATGTTTATTCCGACAGAAATCAAAGACAACCGACACCGGAAAGCAACACGGGGGAAAGGAGGAAGGAAGCAAGTCCCGCCTCATTTTTGTAGTATTTTCACCATTTCTCAGCAGTTATGATGAGTTTGTGTTTTTTTCGGTAGACCCACCGGGCGGACATTGGATTGCTAAGAGGAGCGGGTCGCGGCGGCACCGTACATTGATGTACTGCTGCAGGGCGTCCGCTGGTCGGCAGGTCAGGCGAAGGAGTGCAGAGGTCAATGGGGCGGCTGCTGGCAGCATTGCAGCGGCTCGGTGATGTCAGCGCTCTTACGAGCAAGCCCAATCCAAAGCTGCATTGTCGTCGTGGGGGTGGAGCTCCGCCGCCGACCGGGCAGCGGAGCAGGCTCCGAAGATCTCTGGGAGCTGGGCCACGTGGTCATAGACGGTAGCTCAGGCGGACGAGGCTTTCACAGGCATGTGGGCAGTTGCCAAGTAAGCAACAAGCCGGAGAGATTTTTCTTTGAGTCATGACGTTCACGGATTGCAGATGTTGAAGCTACGGCCCCACAGCTCGAGGACTGCTGACTGGCTAATGCATGCCAGTTGTTTTGTAGCATGTTTGCGATGAGCTAACACATTGACAGGAATTCGACTCGACAAAGATCGGGATCATGTGACAATGTGGTCTTGCTCGCTTGACAATCACACCCCTCAACCAAGTTGACTTGCGTTTCAGCCAACAAAGCCAGCCGCATAATGGCAACTCTCCTTCACGAACATACGATGGCTCGTCGGTCCCGCTGAGCTGCCATGGAAGCCTGCGCTCCCAGGACGTGGTAAGCTTTGGACCAGGATGAGATATCATCTGGATTTTTGCATAAGTCACCTCTTTGCAGGAATGGGGAAAACTCTAGTGGCTGCAGCGACACTGCGGTTCCGGCGCTCAGTGAGAGCAATCTGCCGGCAGAAGCTGAATGTATTCGTAGCCGACAGCCCTCAATCCCCTTCCAGGTCGCGAGGATTAACTGTCCCCCACAAACGGTGTCTGCACTGCGCTACTTGTATTACACTCGGACTTTGTCTCTGTTGAGCTGTTTCAATCAAACCACGCTGCCCGTGCTGAGGCATCGGCTCGTGCACGGGCTTCGAAGGCGGGCCGATGGGAGTGGCCGAGGCACAGGTGACGGCAACAGCAACAGCAACGACCGCAAAAAAGTCGTGACTAGAACAAGACAAACCCTCCCTATGGCAGCACACCCTCGTCAACAAATGGAACAGCAGCAGCGGCAACTGCAACGTTGAGCGAAGTCTTCTAATTCTGCTGCTACAGGTACAACTGGTACTACTGCTGATGCTGGTGCTGCTGCTTCTGCTGCTGCTGTGGCTGTTACAACCACCACCACCACCACCACCACCACCGCCACGAATATTGCTGCTGCTGCTTTCTGCTACTGCTACCGCTCCTCCTGCTGCTGCCAGTAAAAGTACGACGATGGCTACTTCCGACTACCACGATTGATCCGACTGTTTGTCTGAGTCTTCTAGAAGTACTGCAAGCATTGGATCCACAAGTACAGCAGTTGATAGTGCTTGCTTCTCTGCACTCCAAGAACATGAGTCCTACACAAACAAGATCCGACGGCTGAGTTGTTTACAGCTTCGTTTGTTTTTACGGCATCCTCCATTCTACATACATCCTGATCCCCGTCCATGCCACGAAACGGTTTGTTTGCAGTCGTAGCTCAAATCCGACGCCCCAGTTCCTTCAACAACCAGAAAATGTGCACGGCACTAGGCCCAACGCTCGGAGAAGGCGAAGGAATTGCAGTCTCCAGAGGCCTTGACCCCAGAACCAGAGGCGTGAGGCGCATGCATGTGAAGGTGGCCTTCACCTTCTTATGTCGACAACTCCACCAGGGAATAATTGAAAAGATCCTGGCACGTCAGCAGCTGGTCTCCAACCAGATGCCTAGACTCCACCATACAAGCTTCTCAAGACAGGACAATCAAAAACCCTTCTTGTCCAGAGGATCGGGCATGGGAGCTCCTGCTGGCCATAGCCGGGGACTGGTGCTTAGCAGTATGCATGGGGTCAAGCCGGGGGCCGGCGGCTTTTGGGGTTTAGATTTGCGACTTTCGAAAGCGGACACTGGAGTCCACAAGACCAGAGAAATCTAGGCACAGACATGTCGAGTGCCCTTGCCCTATCTCATCCTTTGGAAACGAAGCTTTGTTCGGCAAAGCTGGCTGAAGGAAGGGTATTGATAAAAGCGGGATGTTCAACACCACGCCGTGTTTAGATTCCGCTTGGCGATGACATGATTTAGTTGTCCTGCAGCCACGGCAGCTCAATCCCCATTAGTTTGTTTAGAGCTATACCTGCTGCCGCGAGTACAAGTATGCGGGCCGCCAGGGCGCTAGCTGCTGATGATGTTCCTGCTGTGGCAGTTCTGGCAGAAGCCCGTCTTTTCATCGAGACGTATGACAAGCAAAGCTGCGAGAATTTCCGGGCCGCGAGCGCGGCAAGCCTGTCCACCATGGCCACAAGAACAGGAACTGCTGAAACTAGTAATAACTCCAGTAGGCTTAGCTGGTCGAGGTTCCGTCTGCCGCCGTTGCAAACCCAACTGCCAGAAGTTGAAGGTAAAGGGGAAGACAAGGCCAGCAAGTCTGTGCGCAGACACAAGCGGAGACATCGGGAAAAGGCTGCGACTAAGACAGAGAACTCTCAGCAGCCCAGGACGGTGGAAAAGAGCGCGAAGCTGTCTAGCAAGCCAGCGAACACGTGCGGACTTGAACGCGATGAGATCGTGAAGGGTGCTACCTACACGTGGTTGCGGAGCGGTCTTCTGGGCCGTGGCTCCATGGGCACAGTTTGGAAAGCGAGGATTGCCGGCACAGAGGAGGTCGTGGCCGTGAAGGAGGTAGATTTGGACAAAGATTTGCAAGTACCGAGCGAAATCGCGAACGAAGTCGCCACCCACCAGCAGCTCAATCACCCCAACATAGTCAAGCTGCTTGGCACTGATGCGGTGCTGGCCAGATACTACATCTACTTGGAGTTCATGCCCGGGGGCTCGCTGCGGCAGGTGTTGAAGCGGGATGGCCCCCTGAGAGAGGTCCAGATCTGTAACTATGCCTCCCAGATCGTCAGTGCTCTGAGCTACATGCATCGGCAGGCTGTACTACACAGAGATGTGAAGACTGGCAACATCCTCCTTACGCAGGATATGAATTGCGCAAAGCTCGCAGACTTTGGGTGCTCAAAGAAGTCCAAAGTTAGCGCCAAACACACTTTTCGAGGATCTGTTCTATGGATGGCCCCTGAGATTAT